AAAATGAGTGACAACTGATCAAAGGGTAAGGCTGAGGGCAAATGCCGAAATCTTCAATATAAGTACAAAAAATAGGGCTCCATTCTCTACCTGAGTTTGCACTCCTGCAAGGCCAACGCGACGTCCTGATAAATGCTGTTGCTGTTGTTGATGCTGATGCAGCATCATGAGTAGTTGTTGCTGATAGGAAGAGGCTGCGGTCGTGCAGGGACTCGAAGTAGCTTTGGTCAACTGAGCGATTTCAAGAGAGCGTTTGGCGGTAGCCACTGAAGTAGAGGAGCCGAAGAGACGCTGGCATACATCGGGTAATAGATAAATACTAAACCGGAAAAGTCTGAAGAACACACCAAAGGGAAGACTAGATAGAGTAGAGGAATCGGAACATGTAGTAGTGATGCCAGCAGTTGTAGCAGGGGGGATATTAGTTGATGAAAGAGATACTCTAGACAGGCCAAGAGATGCAGAAGAATATATGAGTGCACCCGGGGAACGTCGCTTGGTACTGAAGGTGACATTGAGAGAAAATGGTCCAACTGACTCATCTATGGATCCAAAGGCAATACCAGCGAGATGGCAGCACTAGAATCAGTGAAAAAATGTATAATAATATCGGAAGTCAATCGGAGAAAAATAAGCACAGAAGCAATAGTTAAGAGATTGTGATAACTAGACTAATTACCTTACATGAATAAAGGCAATTTTGCGAAAAAGCTAGTTGGCAACCGGAACAATACTCATTTAATTGGGGCATGGAGACAGTATAAATAAAGGAATGCTATCGAACCTAGTGCAAACACAAATAAGAAATATATGAAGCTTATTCACCCTGTTTCGTGTAGGAACTGGTAGTTGAATTTTCTCATAGTGATATGAGTAGACTTTATATTTCCATTGAATTTCACATAGCCTTGCATTCCAAAAAGTTATTCTAATCAAGAGTGGACTGCAGTTTCAATCTCGCATATGTCCTATCAACACCTCCAGCGGGACTCGAACTATGGCAGTGCAGCGTATAATCTTCACACGTTAACCACTACGCCACATTGCCACGAGTACATTTGGGTCAGAGGGACAAGCATCTTTCCATATCACGTTTGCCCTGTGACCCAAGGGCACTCGTGGTAATGTGGCGTAGTGGTCAACGTGTCAAGTTATACGCTGAACTGCCATAGTTCGGGTCCTGCTGGAGGTGTTGTTAAGACCTAGAAGAGATAGAAACCGCAGTCCACTCTTGATTAGAATACCTTCTGGGAAGCAAATCTATGTGAAATTCAATAGAAATGTAAGATCTACTCATATCATTGTGGAAAAAATTCAACTACCTCCCCGCCACCTTACACTTTAAACAAAATAATGTGAATATACTTCATATATAAATGGCCTATGGTCTCAAAAACCTACTTATAAACGAAACACAAATAAGAAATACGCAGATAAATTAAATACAAATCATACGATAAATTCATGTGATTGTGAGATGAGCATTAAAATTTTTTCGAAGTTTAATAAAACCAGAAGTCTATAGACTTTTATAACACATATTGGATAGATACTCTAGAAGGATTAAGCATAGACAGGCATTTCCTGTCGCTTCTCAGACAGGTTTACACAAGAACATGGGACGCTCTAGGCCTCTTTGACAATTTAAGGATTTGCAATGTAATTTTCACACATTTATATGAATATGCCTCCCGATGCCATTGGATTTTACTTGTTCTTATTCCCCAAAAGCGTTCTTATTCAGGGCAATTTTAATAAAATTTTTCTATAAGTCCACTTTTATTAACGCCATATTTAAGTAGTGAGTAAGTACCCTTCTTGACTCTGAATTTAGTAAATGCTTTAAGAATATAAGACTATTTTATTTAAAACTTACCTGATAGCTTTGTAGAATTGACTGCTTCTCCGCCCTCCAGGCCAGAGCAAGAGAGCTTTCAGGACGCTTACCTTTACGGCTCTTCTCATTTAGACGGTTGGAATCTATCTCAGACCGACTGGTGACACTGTCGGCTCTAATCTCGGTGATTCGAATCAAACAGGGCTTGGACCGATTGCTATATTTGGTCTTGCTTCGTCTGGCCGTGTTTTTCAAACAAGTCCTTTCTTGCCCCAAGGCAAAATCTTTCAAGCTCCCTGCTGTTAGCTCTTGTTCCTCTTCTGCCATTCCCTGTTCCTGATCTTCCTCTATCTCTTCTTGACTGATATTCACTTCCTTATTCTGTTCTTCATCTTCCTCTTCGTCACCCAGAACATTGGCATAGTAGCCCGCTTCCACATAGGTCTCTTCTTCTTCGTCGCTAGCCAGATCGCTTGTATCATATTCTACCTCTTCATAGCCTTCCTTTTCTTCGTCAGTCTCCAAGTCATCGCCTCCTATTGCCGAAAATTCAACTGGGCTATGCCGCTTCGGCAAAAGTACGAAAGGTTGAGAAGCCATTTTGATACCAGCTGGGCTCGGCTTGCCGGCCAAACGACACACACGAATTGCACAGACTCGTACTGTGTACTCAGCGCCAGGCAACAGTCCAAAAATTCGGCATGTAGTTTCTGCCCCACGGAAGGCCACTATTGCTACTGGAGGACCAGCCGAGGTAGGAGATGCTCCAGAGACAGCTAGGCAATGCGTAGATCCGGCAGCCTCAGTTTGAGAGGATACAACAGGATCAAGACAAATGAATCCAGAACTAGCTACGGGCATGCCAAGAAAATTGGCCGAGAAGTCAGCAGCAGTGACTGTTGCAGGAGGAGTTACAAGGGCCAACTGCAGTATGTATGCGATTGACTCAGCCGTAGTCGAACGCAGCAATAAGCACTTTTTGCCACCGCTGTCAGTTTGAGGACCGTTTGGAGAGGTCGGCCGCTGTCGATGATGAGAGCTGTGATGGTAATGATGAGAAAAGACTCCTGGTAGTAAGGCGGCAGGCCAGTCAATGCGGCACGAAGTAGATGAAATCTCAGTGACTTTAGGGACTAAAAGAAAAAAAATCCTAGACGAGAGTTCAATGCTATCTAAAATACATAAGAAAGTTTAATCTCAATAGATATTAAATATTGAGTGTGAGTGATAAAATGAAAAGAGCAAGAGGAGGAAACAGAGAGAGAATTAAAGTAACAGGGAGACAAATGGATTATAAGAGATATGCTGATAAGTGGTGTATAGATAGGATGTAACAAGAAAAATGCTAAAATAAAACACTATACATATCAGGAATATGATAGATGAGTAGGAGAATAATAATTTAAATTCTATGCTAAAGTGAATTGCTTGGTTTCAAAATATTTTCCAGAAAAATTGTATGATAGACTTGGCAATGAGTTCCTGAATTAATAAGAAGAATAAATAAGTAAAGCTAAGCCTATCTTATCGAAGCAAAAATAGTGATTAGCAGATAAAAAGATGAAGATGAGTTGATCAGAACAATCAATGAAAAAATAATGATTGCACAAACATTAAAAAATAAGGTAAAAATAAAAGGACAGGAAAATAGGCCTGACTCATACGTTTTACTTGAGCTGGTGGAAGGCGAGGCGTTGTTACTTGAAGAATGCGACTATATTTGCCGGAACCAGTAGTGTTAGATGCATAAACACGGAAGTAATAATGAGTAGCCTCCTGGAGACGAGTCACTTTGTGGTGCTGCTCACTGCCTTGGTGAATGGTGTGCCATCTACGCAATAATGATGAAAAAAACGTGACGAAAATAGGAAAGATTGTCAATGCGATAAGGAATAACGAGTATGAAAACTGAAATAAATGCAAAGTAGAGATAAAACAAACAGAATAAATTGAATATATGAAGACCACGATGTTGTGGCTTCTGGTGTGGACGCAGTCTCCTTTCGATTGATAGAAGTGGGTTGACCTCGTTGTCGCAACTTGGTCTTGTTTTCAGGGAGA